TTATGTAGTTATGGTGATAGGGATTGGCAGGGCCAACTACCCTTGAAATTTTTCACCCAGTCTAAAGCTAATTTCATGGCCATCCATCCACCCTTATTAACCCACTTTTTCATCCTTAAAATCCACTCTTATTATTTAGAGTTTAAAAATGTTAACACCCACCCACCCTTGAAATGTCAGTCACCCACCCTTAGTTTTGTACAGCTTACAACCCTGCTTTCATAAATGGTATGCACTAAAAATACATACATATAATAAGGCCCCAATAGTGCAGTAAAATTGTATATAGCCACACTCAAAGATGTTGATAGAAGCTCAAAACTCTAGTGTTTTGAAAGAATTTGAGGTAAAAAATATGACATACTTATATTGGCAATTTTTAATGTTGTGGTGTATACCGGGGTGAGCATAAAATGGCTGAAAGGCCAAAGTGAATTGTTGATTTAACCCTGAGGGCCGCACCCAAAGTTTAATGTTCCAGGTGCGCTTCCAAAAACCATCGTACACTGCTTTTACACCACTGTATCCTCAGTTTTAATATTATATTTTACACACAATCGATGGTTGGGGACGGGAGGGCGCACACATAGAGTTTTTAATTCATTCACACAGGCCACAAAAAATTCACTGCCGGTCCGTACTTCGCCCACCTTTGGTGTATACTATAACTGAGTAGAGATGTAGCTTGGTGGTAAAGATGCTTAATTTTCAATCTGAGTGTTCATAAGTAATTATCAATATGTTTCCTCCTGATTACGCAACTCTTTCCCTAAAGCTTCATAATGAGACATACAGCATGATCGTTACATGTGATTGGCAAGGTACTCTCCGCTGTCGGGTGTGAAAGCTATAAAATAACACACCAAAACAACCGAGGTAGACATCTAATTTGTCTGAAATTGCAAGATATATTGATAAAGTATACTAGGCTATAAATAGTGTGACTGTATCTGATGAAACCCTATCCGCTGGGGTAATACTTCATAATGTGAAAAAAATGTTATAGTGTTCTAAGAAGTGAAAACATTTTACGTTCTTAGAATACATGGTAGACTTCAAAAAACAATGAATATATATTTTAACCGCTGCATTTCATTTCATACAAGACAAAAGAATATGGCTCACTGGACGTCTATTAAACATTTTATTTTATTTTAATTTTTTTATTTATTTGGTATATCAGCAGACAAAATACAAATAGCAGCCAGGGATGAAATGATTGCATTTTACAAAAATATATAAGTATATTCTTGTATACAAAATGCCATATCGTATGTTATTACAACATAATATCAAAGTACAGAGACCTATTTCATGATATTAGTATAGTATAGTATTTAATATTTACAGTGGCATATTAAAGGGGTAAGCGCGGGTGCATTCCCCTCCAAAAATTACTCCATCCCCCAGTCACCACACAAAAATCATAGTCAAGTAGTTAAAAATCACCTAAATCACCGCAGTTAGCGCCCCTCAACTAATCATCAAGCCCTTGCTTCACCTTCGGCGCCCCCCCCCCCTCTCAATGAGCATCCCCTCCTCAAGACTTCTAGATAGGCCTCTGAATATTTACATTTACATTTTGAAAGATCATCGTCATGAAGCTGATTGTTTTATGCAGTTTGTGCCCTATTTTCCATCACCTCTTTGCCTGTTTTGATATCCAAAGAAGTAGATTGGCCATTAGAGTTCATTGATATTGGCAAATTAAAATAAAAGCCAAGGTCACCCATAAGGCTAGTGAGTAGCAAACACCCAAAGCTGAAGCTAAGAGGATGTGCTAATCTGCAGTGGTTATATATTTAATTTTATAACATGTGAGTTTGGTGAAGCACAGCAGAGACAATCAGAGAATGAAACCTTGTTTGTCTCAGATGATTAATATAAACTAAGCAAGCAAAGTACAGTAGAACCCCTATTAAGGGGTTGCCTTTGGGACCAAAAAAGTGTCCTTTAACAGGGATGACCTCTGAATAGGGTTGGCCATAGTGTTAGAGGATATACTTCCATTTGTTTCATGGCTGAAAAAGTTTTCCCTTAATAGGGGTGTCCCCCTTCTAGGGGTGTCCCAAAGGAAGCGGGGGTGGGGTTCTACTGTATGTTGATAATAACATTTAAACTAGGTTTGTACAGATTTATTTGTTTAGGCATTCATTTATCTATCATATTTAGTAGATATACATCAGAGATACTTAATATACAATCATAGAATCAATAAACATGTGCTATTTTTAATTTATTCATTCATTCTTTAATCTATACCGGTACTTGATTTACATGTTCCATGCTTGATTAGTATCCAACTTTCAATTGAATACAATTCCAAACTATAATTCATGAACTTAATTATCAATTTACCCAGTCATCTAATAATTTGTTATTACAGTACTGAATTCATTTATTATTAAAACATTCAATATATCCAACTAAACATTAATTCATTTATCAATCTGGTGTCATAATTGGTTCACATACTCCTCTTAATGGTAATTATAGGTTAAATTTATCTTTCTATAAATGTGCCTCTAAATAATGTGTGTGAATACTGTCTAGTTGGTCTCACTCATGTAGTCACCAGCTGATTCTTCTACTTACATTCCTCATGATATACTAATCTTTTGTACTCATTCACTCACATATTTTCCTAACTTATTCACAGTTCCTTCTCATTCAGTCACTCATTTACTTAACTTCTCATTCACTTAACTTTACTTATTTACTTTCCTCATATATTCACTCATATTTCCAACCCTACCGTATTCAAAAGTTTCATTTAAAATAACAATTCAAAAAATTATGTTATATCTTTATGATTAGATTATAGATAACACCTCTCAAAGAGTGTTACAGATAGCATTGTTGTACAACCTCAAATAATCTACATGACGCCCAAATATGGTATCTTTAATCCTCCAATGCGAATTATGACCTTCTGCAGATGGGGGAAATGAAGGCCCTAGATTTACAGATACACCGACAAACACTTTACCCCTCACAGGATATTCTTCATTAAATTTTGAATAACGGGTTATCTTTATGATGAAGGTCATGAACATCATAAATTCCTTTCATGTTTTGTTAATAAAATAATATTACGTTTTTGTTATTGATATAGCTGTACATTCTCTGTTTTATTATAAATTTCTAGTTTATAGTGTTATGAGGTTCTGGGTTTATATCATGCAGCTGCCTAGATGTTTTCTAAAATAAATAATAATAATAATAATGATATTTATTTGGAAATCGCTTTTGAAACAGCGACACCCATCATTTTGATGGTGCATTCAAACACATATATGAACTCTTAAATAATAAACTCTTTTTTTCCTCATTCTCTTTAAAATATAGCATTTGTATAACATTAGCGGGTTTCAACCTTCGTGTGTTTAAAGAGAGAATTGCTTGGAAATCCATTAATTTTTCCATGGCTTGTTGATATTAATCAGTATGTTGTGACACTGAAAATCAATGTTTGTAAAAATAAGTACGCTTGTGAAAGTGACCGATAAAACAGTCTGAAATAACAACCTATCATCAGCACAATACAAAAGCACTGTACAAGGCTGAAATTGTTAATCATTGATATTATTTTTTTCTACATAATAAAAAAATATGATAGTGCTTTTTATAGTTTTTGTTGATAGTTGTTCTGCATAATATTGCTTGGCTTGAGCCATTTGTGAAAACATTCTCTGCATGAAAAGTTTATACTGGTAAAATATTATTTGAAATATATAAATAAATTGTTGTTATTGTTGTTATTAAATTTCTTGTTCTGAGATCGGTGCACAACTTTGAAATTTGCACATCAGGGAGTAGAGGCAGTTGCAGGTGAATGAAATGGATAAAAGTAAAATTTTTGTTTTAAATTATTGTTATTTTATAATCATTATTAATTTTATTATTATAACTACATATTTAAGAACAACCTATTGTAATATGTGAAATAACAAGGGATAATATTTTGCCATGTGCAACTATTTATGGCATTATAAGCACTATATAAGACTATATTATCATTGTTATCATCATCATCCTAGTTCATCTTATAATTACTACAGATACTGTATATTATTCACATTTACCTTTGCAGGCAAGAAATATAGTTTTAAATAAATATCATTTTTCTGTAAGTATAAAATATTTCATAATTTGATATTATGAAGTGATCATTTGGATATCGGGGTGTTAGATAATAATGATAATCTATGTATGATTATCATCATCTTTATTATGCATAAAACCTTTTATGTGTACACACACTGGTTGTGAATGCTGTGAATACATTATGAATATGAGCTTATATATTATTTTTATTATTTATCATGATTGTGCTTATGTAGAAGTCTTATTATTTTGTCTTATAATTTTACATGTGGTAATAACTGTTATTTCTGTTTAAATTAAATTCTGTTTATTGTTCTTCACAAATGTAGGTTTTTTTTTAATGTTAGTACAGCATTTATCACTATTTTTTTATACTAATTTGTATATTTTGAAAATTTAATTCATTTCAAAATGTGGCACATGGCTTATAAAGCTTCTTATCATATAATTATTACATGGCCATCACTACATCTACCACTGCTCCAGTTATTTTTGTTATAGAACAATAAAAATAACAAAATGATTTGTCAGGGGTCCCAAGTTGGAAGATCACACTTCTGATCTGGTTAAATAAGCTTTCTTAACAAATCTAATTTCATGTTGCTACACATGGAGATACTAAATTCCATGAGACAATTGATAATAATAGTAAAAACATGCAATATTATTGATTTGCTTGAGATTGGTTATTTTTGAGAGATCTTGCTTGCTTGCAAGGGTCTATCCTGATTTCTGGGAGAGTCTTGCGGCTTGTTGGAGACATAGGACCTCTGATGTGTCATGTGATTGAATACTATTGCTGGCTTCAAGTATTCAAGCTCAGCAGATATATAAAACAGTAGCATGTAATAGATGCACACACAAGTGGTTTATTTAGGATTGTATTTTTTCAGAGAGTGTAGCAGCACCAGTGTCATATGCCATATATGGCAATCCATATACACCAGCATCCCATCATGGCATTCTGGGTAATATATAATGCATTTTGATTCGAGCTTGAATGAATGATAATTAACCTCTTATGTCAATTGATTATTAATATTATTTGATTTGTATGCATCCTGCAGTATGGTATGCTTTCTTCGCCTATTATCATTTATTTTGAAATTCGCGCCTTAAAAATGTTTGATATGTTATTATTTCAATATTAATATCATAGTTGCATGCACATATGGCATGTACATGGTCACATTCGGTTTGCACTTGTAACACATCGCACACAGACCTGACGGTGATCATGACGTAATCAGTGATTTTTAATCATAGAACATTATTATACCGCAATCTGTTTTACCAGCTTAAAAAATATAGCCTTTTGGATGAGGCTACAAACAATTCAGTCTGTAAAGCATTTTAGCATCAGTCATATAAGTATTGAATTGGGAAGGTAACACCTCTTGATATATTGAAATTCATTAAAGCAGAAAATCCGGTCTAAATTTATTTCCCCATGTGTACCTGCAAATAAATTCCTTAACAATTGCGCCTTTATTTGTGCGTTACCAGGGAGTCTTTTTCGCCACCTAGATATTTTTGTTAGAGGTCTGGACTGTCTGTAAGGCATAATGTAGGTTTTGCTTGCAGCCCCACATTTTTTTTCATTTTCTTCACTTTCTTCACCTTTTTGGAAGCCCATTCCAAAACTTGACCTAAACATGTTTTAATGGGATTGGCATATATCTGAAAATCTATGATAATAGTTTTGGTTTATATACAGTAGCACCATTTCCAAAATCCAATTTGATGCTTGCATGTTTAACATAAATAAAGCTATTTGAGTGAAGATTTCTAGGAATTCCTTAATTGTACTGTATTTGTTTATTAATTGAAATTCTAAATCGTAGGCATCTATATATTTTGTTTTTTTCTTTTTATTATCAGAGGAGTTTTATCGTAATTAATTAGTTAATTGTATTAAAATAGATAATATATTCAAGGTCATAGCTAACAATTTAATTAGAAATCACTGAAATTAGATTAATTAAATTAAATGATAATCTTAATACTTATATTTTAGGTTTTGATACGAAATTTGTATTGGTTAGCTCACTACATAGAATGGTGCGTGCCTAACCTTAACGTTCATTTCCCTCCGGAAAGGATCCTTGCGTCTAATAATGCCCAGAAGGTATACAGTTTTAATATGTGGGAATCTATGCAATTGAATTAGACAGTAAAGTTTTGGCATGGCATGTACTTTACGAAGGAGATCACATGGTAGAGATAATCTTGTTAAGTTTATGCTGGGGGAAATGAAAGTGACGGTAATCCTCATCTTCTTGCGTATGATATGATTTCATATCTAGTTGTTATTAATTTGACGTAGTAGGGTCACCAACGAGCAGGTTAACAGCATGACCCTCCCATTTATAGTCCTGGGCCAAGAGAGGCAAACACAAGTAAAGTGCCTGTCTCAAGGACACAAGCATTGCGACGAGAGTCGGTCTCGAATTCCCGATCTCACAATCAGAAGTCCAAAACCTTACACACTGCCCCACACGCTTCCTACAGTGAAGGTAATGATGTTAATCAAAACTACATTAAATTTTTTCAATTGTTAGAATTATTGGCAGAAATACAGAATCAACATACAGTGACAATAAACAAGAATTTTTTTTTTTTTTTTTTTTTTTTTGGTCCTG